ACATTGATGCCTCTTAGTTTCTTGCCTAAACCGGCCTTTATATGCACGTCCTGTCATGCATGGTCAACGTTATAATGGCTTTACTCTTGGTCTCGTAAATCCTCCATCTAGTCTCTATTGACTATTCATTGTTGTAATAGGAAAAACTTATAAATTATCGAAGGAGTTCATCCTAAGCACAAGATCAATACCATCATTGGCATCGATAATAAGTTTACCGGACCTTCCTACTCTGATCTTTGCTTTCACACCATATCCCACCATACCTAGTTGTTTGTTATTCTATTCATGAGTTTGATCAACTTACCTTCTTTAATTGTCTTGAGCTCCAATCTCTTAGCCTCATATATAGAGACAAAGTTATAAGATGCTCCCGACTAACGCTGTCGTGGGTATCCTATTCAACCTTACGCTCATGAATCGGATTCCCTTTGTCTCTACCTTGCTTACCTCTATTTTCATGTTGATTAGGATCTTTATGATGATAGGCAATTGCCTTTTAGCTTTGATGACATTGACAAATTACATTGATCCCATGTATACCTCCTCGTTCAATGATTCTCTTTTGTTTCAGTCACCCTTCTTTGAAAACTTGTTGTTTTTGGCCAATGCTGCACTCGATGTGGTTTTTGGCGCACGAAACACTCCCCCCTTTATCATTGTCACCACTCAACAAACTTGAACTCGGTTATCAGCTTTTCTTCCATTTCTTGAAGGAGTCTACTTTGATACCATTTGTCACGAACTTGTCTATACAAGCTCATCATGCGACACTAAGTGCTCAAACTAATTCAACCTATCATGTAAAGTATCATAAGAAGGAAAAAGTAGGTGATAAAAGCAACAAAATAAAACAAAAGCTAAATAGGAAAATGTAGTAACTAGTATTACCGTATTAGTGCTGAAGAATCCTTGCAAGAGACAAGATTACACAAGTTAAGGGATGTCTACGAATGAAAATGAAATTATCTATTTATACAATGCTAGAGGTTGTCTCATCAAACGAAGCGACTAGTACATGTAGAGTCATGTACTTGAATGTACATTTTTCTTGAAGTCTTATTTACATGGAATTTATACACACTTTAAGTACTACAACTAGATGGAGTCTTGAAGATTCTTCTACCATTCTCTTGAGAAGTCTTTAACTCTCTAGACCGTTGATGACTCATGTAAAGGTGAAGTGTATGTATCTTCAATTGGCTCAAGAGACAAACCGGAAATGATATGTCAACTTGTCAAGTGTTGGATAACTATTTGATAGTTTACTTATGCTATGGATTCTTCATAGACTTTTTGTATGTTATAAATAGGTTTCCATGGAGACTTGTATTAATATAGTGGAATCTCTTTTGGAGATTGATGTTCTATCCCGAGGAGGTAACGTAAAGGTCCTATATCCATGATATGAAATTGAGACCATAGAATGTACAGTACTACAACTTTACTATTATTGGAGGTAAAGATAAATGTCATCCATGTAGACTACTAAATATGATGCTCAATTCTCAAATAAAGACAGTATAACCTACGGAACATTTCATACGCCTGAAACCCATTACTACTAAAACCCATTTATAAGCATAAAATCCACAGACAACAGAAAGGATCTCAGTACAAGTAAATCCAAGTTGCATGAGATAGGTCATTGACATAAACCTATTACTTTAGGGAGAGTTTAGTATTTTAAAACTTGTAGCCCCATTATATAGATGTATAATAGATGTCTTTATTATTGATTTTTATGCTTGTTTGGTGTGAGTAAAAGTTATGATTCATGTTTTTTGTTGGTAGGAGCGTATAAGGCGCATGCAAAGCGTGTTCAATCGGGAAAAAAGTAAACACCAAAGGGGGTATGAGAGTTGGAGGCAAAATAATGGTAATGCAAACACAAGCGGATATCATCAACATTTTCAAAGGGAAGATTGGTACTGGAAAACTGATACAGCACATGGAAATAGAAGTAACTTTAGGGAACCTCATCCTCCTCGCTCCCATATAAATTATTCATTGTCACACCACTATGCAATCTTGGGTCTTAGCAGGTCAACTATACCTTTCCTTAAATATAACATTACATTATTTTTTATTAAAATTTAAATAATATGTACATTCCTAATTTTCATTTGAAATAAACTAAACACTATTTATTTATTTATTTATTTCTTTCTTTGTAAATAGGTCGAGGACAAAACCGTACACAGATGATGAGATTAAGGTAAATGACAATTTTTTAATTAAATCTTCACCAACTGTTACGTTATTATGTCTGCTTTTATTTCTTTGCATTAGATTTGAAGATTTTTTCCAGATGTATATATTATGCGTGCTGCATACATATAAACTGTTTTTTTTTTTTTAAATATTTTTTTCTTGATGCTGCAGACAGCATTCAGGAGCAAGGCAAAGCAATTTCACCCTGATCAGAATCAAGAAAACAAAGGTAGGAACATTTTACATAATTGTCCATTTATTGAAATTATCTAACTTTATGTATAATCTAGGTAAGAATTTATAGCTCTGTTTGAATTGATTCAAGGGTGTTGAGGTCAAATTTGTTTATTTATAAGATTATGTTGTTTACTTAAAGGGATAATGACATAAAAGCCCTTATGTTTTTCAAAAAAAAAAAAAAAACAATTTTACCGTAACATCACTTTTTTTTGTGCGTTAAAACTGGAACTTTGCAAGTTTTTATTTTCTACTTTTGCCCTTACCTGTTATAGCAGGTTTTCAGGTTACCATGTATATGTATACGATTTTTTTATTTTTATTTAAACATCCTATCTATGTTTATTTAAATGCTATTTCTTTATGTGCTGTTTTTTTGCCTATTTATACGGCATAAAATGTAAATACATATTTTTATAAGTATAGAAGTATAAATATGTATTTTTATGTATTCATAAGTATAGATACGTTTTTTGAAATATAAATACGTTTTGTTACATTTTTTAGAAGTATAAATACTTTTTTCAGAAATATTAATCTTTTTTTCTAAGTATAATTAAATATGTATTTGTATGATTTTAGAAGTATATATATACATTTTTTAGAAGTATAAATATGTATTTTTTATATTTTTAGAAGTACAAATACATTTTTAGAAATATTAATTTGTTTTTTCGAAGTATAAATATGTATTTTATGTATTTATAATTATAGATACATTTTTAGAAGTATAAATACACATTTTACATTTTTAGAAGTTCAAATATGTATTTTTACGTTTTTTAGAAGTATGAATACGTTTTTAGAATTAATATTTCTAAATACGTAAAAATATGTATTTATACTTCTAGAAACATATTAATATTTCTAAGAAATGTATGTATACTTCTAAGAAATGTAAAAGTACATATTTATACTTCCAAAAACTGTATCTATACTTCTAAATACATAAAAATACATGTATATACTTCTATACTTTTATAAATGTAAAAATATGTATATACTTCTATACTTTTATAACTGTAACCCAAATGTAAAGACAGTTTTGCATCTGAAAAACATAAATACGATGTTTAATTGGATACCTTTTTTGTGTATAAATACATTTATTTATGCATGAATACGTATGTGTAGTATGAAAAATAAAACATATTTAAGCTAAAAACGTAACAGATCTATAAACTTAAGGGTTTGCTTACAAATTTGATTTCATGGTAACTTGGAAACCTGCTATAACCGGTGAAAAGGCAAAGGTAGAAAAAATTGCAAAGTTTTGGTTTTAACGAACAAAAAAGTGATGTTAGGGTAAAACCGTATTTTTTTGAAAAAGTTAAAAAGGTTTTTATGTCATTTAGGGTTTTTTGTAGTTATTATCTTGTATTACAATCATTTACATTGGTAAGTGCTAAATTCAGGAAATGTCAAAAAAAAAAAAACCATTCCATTTCATGTTCATCCTAGGTCCCTAAACTTTCCAGTCAGTCAAGTCACTCAACCAAAATGTTGACTGGTTAAATGTGCTGACGTGGCACTGATATGGTGTCCAAGTGGACTTTTTAGTTAATTTTAGATGAGGATATGCAAGTGATTGGTGTTAAGAAATTGACAATCGTGAATTGTGTAATGCTGCAGATGTTGCTGAAGCAAGGTTCAAGGAGGTTATGACATCTTATGAGGCCATAAAGTCTGAAAGGAAAAACATGAAATAAAGAAGCTGTAGAATGATTATGAAATTCTTTTTTATGGACATTGTGTAACATATAATATAAATTCCCCGATGTAATGTTTTGTGGGTTCTTGGGGAGTTTTTGTTCTTGACAATTCAATTATTATATAGTTGCAAAAAGATTAGTCATATGTTAGGCAAAATAAAATTTAGGTGAGATTAGGAAAACTTCATTACAACATACGATGATGTTGGTTATATTTCTCCATTTTTTAAACACTTGAGCTTTTATAGTTTGCATGATTTTTCAGGATAGAATTCAAATTCTTCCGAGTTTTAAACACAACTAACTGCAAATTTGGTCATTGTGGTTTGCAAAAACAATGGATGAAGTCTAAAAACTTTTTGATTTGCATCAATGTTCTAAAATGGTAATTTTTTTGTACTTTTGGTCCCTATAATTATCATTTCTTTGTGATTTTGGCCCACATCCTTCTTGAAATGACCAATATACCCCTAACTAATAATTTTTTAATTTCTTTTATTATGTTTTAATTAAAAGAAAACAAAAATTCCTATCCATGCCACTACTAGTAAGTCATCACCTCTCTCTCTCTCTCACACACACATATTTACCGGCTAATCTGTTCACTGAAACAGGTATTAAGTAAGTTTAGAAGGGTTCAAGAGAGGTGGTGGAATATAGGGTTGACTGTTGACACAAACACTTCATTAGTTTATAATGTATATTACGAATTCAAATCTAAGAGAAACACGACCAATCAACAAAGGATGCTTACGATTAACAACATTAAGGAACAACTTTCTATTTTAGCATTCGCTTATGTTGTAATTAAGATGAGAGGGAGTGATTTTAATTTGTTCACTTAGAAGTAAATCTTTATATATGCTTAGAGTATTGAAGCTCGGGATGATTTTATTACATTACCAGGTATTTTGGATATATGATGATGTAGTACAATCTATAACAAAATATGAAATCAGATTACATACATACCTGAAACTCAAACCTAATAACTAACCGCTAAACCCTTGAATGTGGATGACTATCTCCAACACTCTATAAAGAAAGACAATCAAAATATGAAAACTGGAGTAAAGACTATAATACAATTGAAAGCCTCATCCTCATTCTCTTGTTGTTCATTGAGTGGGAGGAGCTCTGTAATATGCAGCCACTGTCGCAGGGAAGAACATCTGCCGTACTCCTTCTGCTTTTATGATCGGGAATATGATTCCAGACGCACCCTGCATCGTTTTAATGGTATGCCAATTTTTAGACTTGTATGTATGTTTAGTTATTCTTTAATATAAACATTTTCTTCTATGTTTTATTAATGGAATTTGAATAATTTAAGTGAAATTATAAAAGAAAAAGAAGCAATACAGACCGAGATTAATCGGGCACCAATCCACATTCTTTTAGGGGAAGGAAAAGGTAACAACAAGCGACCAACACCGAATATTGCCACAGCAAAGAAATGCACAACCAAACTCAAAGGCCGAGGATTTAAACCGGAGAGCAAAGATACAGGTCCATTTGAAAAGACGCCTCCGAGGCTCAAATAGTCAAAACACGCTTCTCGCATTTCTTGCCTTGCTTCGTCTCCTGATGCACAGAACACTTTATACAACGCTCCTGCTAATGTATTGATTGTTGATGCCACCGGCTGCAAAATTAATTAACTTTTTTTTTAATACTCATTTCTGAGAAATCAAATCTTTTGTCAAAGCCCGAATGAATTGAATCATTAAAAAAAGAAATTAAATTAAATTCTGTCGGATAAATGATATTAAAAATTGAGAAAATGACAACACACTTGTCGAACAAATAAATGGGGGCGAATTTGTATGAGATATGACTAAATGGGAAAGTATCTCTGTTAAGTCATTTTTATGCCTAATTGAGAAAAGAAAAAAAAAAACAATATTATGCAAGTGACTGACCTTACGCAGAGTGTAAAAGGACTCAAGATATTTGCAGAGAGTATAGGAGTCATGGAGATCATGTAGAGGCATGAGAAGATTGCGTAGCACAACAATATCAGAAAGTGCTACAGTCATTCCTCCACCTGTCAAAGGATGCCGCATGTTGAATGCATCACCCATTAACAAAGCACCTGGGGTTGGGTGGGGGACAGCTGGCATACTTCTATTGGCCATTGTCCGTATGTTTCCTTTATCAATTGTTGCCACAAATGCATCTTTCATTCCCACCGGTATCTATACAACAACACACAATTAACTCTTCCATCTTTTTTTTTTTTTTAAATGTTTTGAAATTTGAGGGTGTATTGGTACGTACCTGAGGTGCAACTACAGTCTTCAAATAGTTTGACAAATCACCATTTGAAATAGAGGGTATCTTTTGACCAGGTACATCAACCAGACATCGAATTTCAGTACTACTGATTCGGTAAAACAAAATGGGCGATGGGTCTGCTAAAACAACATGCCCATGGTTTTCGTATGGTAGTTCACACTTCTCCAAGATCAAACCAACAAAACATGAAGGCACATCCACCTGTTCAACACATTTTTTTTTAAATATATATGAATCAACAATATAGTTGTTAGATATATCCCAAAATCAACCAACTAATGGCAATGGTACAAAATTGCAATTTCAAAAAAAGGTGAGACCTATTATGTCAATGGGAAAAAAACACATAAAAAGTTTCTTCATCCACATCATCTAAAATAGCCCTAGAAAGCAGAAGTTGCTTAGGCCCTGTTTTGATACTATGTCATTG